AGCTGACTTGACCTGGTCTCGTTCGACTTGTGTGAAAGCCAGTTTCGGAGAGCAACAACTCTGAATTTAATACTGTGGAAATGACAACAGGAAATAATTCCATAGAAATCGTCCTGACAATTCACAGAAAATAAAAAAAGAAGGAATCTGTGGGGAACCTTAATCGCCTTACGTTCTGAAAGGACATGGCATTTAAAAATAACTGATAAAAACCCATTTATTTTACACAGGCGTAATCTCCTTCCTTGTCAATGCACTTAACCTAACGTTTTCTCTATTAATCACAAGTCGAATATTTATATTTTGTCTCTTTTCGACTAGTAAGTATGTAACCTAATACAGTTATTAGCAGAGTATGGAATATGCACTGATTGAGAAATCGGAGAGCTGAGTTCGAATTCCATTCGAATTCATTACATTCACTTACGTGCTAACGCCTTTGGGAAAGGTATGAATCCTCCTCTTCTCCTCCCAGCTATGGGTAAATAGCAGGACAGACAGGATTCTATAGCCTTGGATGGCAACAGGTCTACCGCAACAAGAAATGGCAATCTACTGCGGGAAAAAATCTGCCTCGTCAGTCATGTATCGAAAAATACATGATCGTTTAAGCGTGTGTCTCGCATGACACATAATTGACTGACTGATGGAGTATGCAAAGGCCGAAATGTATCTATAACAACAAAACTGATAACATTTATCAGAACAGATCAAGATATAATAATAATTTCAAGAAGGTAACCGAATATGGCTGACATCTGAGATTCAGTTGTTTTACGGATTATTTTGTAGGTTATTTAAAACAAAAAATTTTTTTTTTTTTAGTAATTCTTTTTTTCTTTCTTTTCTTTCGCGAATGAATTTTATATTAACCTTTTTGGAGACAAATATAAATTATATAATGAGTTTTCCAGATACAACTTGCATACAAATAGACTGTAATATTTTTTTCTTTAAAAAAGTAGGATTTTTCCAAGTATAAACTGTATAGAAATTGATCATAAATTTATATTTTATTGTAAAGACGAACTGCAAAATCTTGGTTCGCTATTTTCCTTCAGGTTATCTGCTCTGTCGTACTTGGCTTGTGTTTGTTGAAATTCGCTACAGGTTATCAATACATGCCTAATCGTGTATAGTTTCTGACATGCTATGTACAACGGTGACATACTTGAAGAAGGGCGGAGAGTAGGGTGGCCAAAACTTTGTGACTATGAGAATAACTACATCTGAGTAGATTAAGGTGACATTATTAATCTTTTTCTATTCCTTCTTTTCATCCAAAAGATTCAGACAAAAAGTTGTCAACCAGTCTTCTCATGTTTTGATATTTCGTTTTAGGTGTAGACGAATATGGGCCATGCAAATGGCGGTCTGAATCCAACGGAAAGCCAATAAGAAGTGCAACCTTTCATCAAGCTCTTGTGGCAGACGAACACTCGCGTGTGATACTTATCTGCCATTATTGGTTAGTATTTTACACTTTAAATTATACATATGTTTGCGCGCATGTGCGCATGCGCGTTCATCCAGTAATTATTGTATTATTTAGTGACCATTAAGAATAATGCAATTTTTTTTATAATAAACTTATAGTGGATTTCTGCAGTAAAACTACTAAAAATATAATTTGTCTTCTTTTATGGGCCGTGTTCCTTCAGGCCACCATTGTAGTTCTAAGTAATGTTTGTCTCTTTACTATCCCTCCCAGGCCCTGTTCTTCTATTCATTTAGGCAAACCCATTAGGTAGTTTACTCGCTGTTTTCCACTACCCAGCTTGCTTTCAAAATGTCATGTTAGTGTCAAAACCTCCAAGCCCTCTTTCCTCATTATGTGTTCCAGAAATTTCAATTGTCTCTTTCTGGATATCTCAGTTATCTCCCTTTAACTCAACTCGTTACCAGATATTTGACTCACAACACTTTGGGTCAAATCACTGGATCCAGTCAACGCTTTTATCCACTGAGCTATGCGTCCTTGAAGTTCAATTCGAAATTCCAATCACTTGAGTGTAAAACGGCCGAAACATCGTGAATATGGCAAAAAAGATGAGAGATGAGGACTTCAATCCGAAGAATATAAATAGTGTAAAAAAATGTAAAGTAGCCTTTTTCTACGGCTTATTAACCCTTTTTATGTTATTTAATGTCAGAAAAAATGTTTAATCAGTAAGAACCTTTTTTTTCTTTTTTTTTTTTTAGATAATAATGTTCTAGTGAGACAGATCTTACTAATTAATCCTAAACTAGGGTGGGAGAATGGATTCATATCTTTCCCAAGAGTAGCTGTGCATAAGTGAATATAACAAACCAAACTGGAATTGGAACTCGGCTATCCGATTAACAATTACGAACCATTATCCATTACACCACCCGCACATCCATGCTTACAGCACATGGTATTCCTAAGCAGTCACCCATCTTAGTACTGACCAAACTCGCCGTTGCTTAACTTGAATGATAGAACGGAAACCGGTGTTTCAATGTGATGTGGCCGCAAGTCACCATTCAAAATTATGTTCAATTGCGCTATGAATGATTATATTTTGTAATGAAAAAATCTTACAAAAATAAAGTAACCGTTATAGAAATATACGATTCGATGAAAATTACTTAATTAAATAATTACTATTTTGGAAAAATACTTCAAATATAGCTGAGAATATATCTTTTTATAATGAGTGTTTATTTGTCAACTCACTTTGAACGTCAAGTGAATCATCGCCAAGTATATATGGGCACGTGGTTGAGTGGCTAGAGCGTTAGTATTCTAACCACGAGACTTGGACTCGAATATCACTAGGATTAAATTGAAGAAGTGTCCTATTGATAATATCAGCAAGAGGAGCTGTTCACATCGTGCAGCAGTCTTGGAAAAGTACCTGAAAAACCATACCACTGATTGACCCAAGTCTTTTGATTGAAATTGGGTTGATGAATGCCGTCGATAGTATGTCTATATTTCACTACGTATTGTCAGGTAGTCAGGTGTTATAACTAAATGAACAGATAGAAGACCTTTAGCTTTTGTCGGCAATCTATTAAGTGATGGTGTCTTGATAAAAAATATAAAAAAATAACATCTATACCCAGCCTGGCCACTCGTTGCAATGTATCGGCCTAAAATATTTACTGACTGAAAATCTTAAAAAAAGAAAAAGAAAAGAATATAGCAGTTCGCAATTTGCAGAATTAGCGGAAGATGGTGAAACGCGGGATGAAATCCTGCTTAAATTTATGAGTGTCTCATATTCCCTGACATTGTTCACAAGAGATTACAATTAAAGCGGATAACACACGAGTTCTTAATGAAATTGAACGCGCTTTCAATCGTTAATAACTACAAATATTTCTTTTTTTTGGTGAAAAAAAAGTCATTGCTTTGTTGCAGTAATGACTCCGATGTAGTTGTATACGGCAATATTTTGTGGTACCGTGTGAGTCGCGGCCTTTTCTCGCAAGTAAACATCACCGAAGTCGTACCGGATATGCATGACGACGAAGACCGGAACCGAGTTGTTATTTCACCAGCACACACGCTGACGTTCAAGAGTGTACGCACAGGTAAGACAGTTTCTTATTACTGACCTCAGTTTGTATAAAAGATAAAGGAAGCGAAAACTGATAGGAGGACAGTGTGTTGAGAGTACCAAAAAGGAAGTTGAACCGATAATTTGTTCTATTGCCATTTCGTTATCTTTAGTATTTCCGCACAACGTTCGGCGGGGAAAAGAGAAAGAAATTCATACAAGCTGGCCTCGTTTTCACTTGATCTTCGCTCACTGGAACGCCAGTCACTGAAAACAGTAATCTTGAATAAGGCAAATATGCCTCATAGAAAATGTGATTACTTTTAACGCTGATTTCTGCTCTTTACAAAATCCTTAGAGATATATAATTTAAACATTCGACTCAAAGACAGCATCTATTAAAACCTTTTTACAAGTTTTGAAACTAATGGCACTTCATCTGGATATGACAGATATTTGCCAAGCTTAGAACGACGTCTCTATACTAAAAACGGCCTGCGGGAGCTGTTTGTTAACCAATGTTATATGGTAGGAACCCATACTTATGTAAATAGTTTTTTTATTAAGTCTGACGTAGGAGCGTGGAGCATAGAGTTTATTGCGATAAAGGATTTCACTTTAGTAGCAATGGTCTGACAGATCAGCCACCACTCTACGACAGGCGAATTTTGAATATATTCTAAGATTAACATCATATAGTAGAAGCCAAAGTAAAAGCAATTTGAAGTAGAAATATTCTGTGCCAGTACTATAAATGGGAAATATTTGCATTTCTCGAAAATCAGTATTTGAAATTCTGAATTTTACACATAACTATGTAAACTACGCAATAAGTGCACCCCCCTCTCTCTCTCTCATATATATATATATATATATAATATATATATATATATATAGTGAGATTCAAACCCAGGTCAGAAAACGAACCTTCCTAACCACTCGGCCACGCGCCCATATATATATATATATATATATATATATATATATATATATAGTTAGGAAGGTTCGTTTTCTGACCTGGGTTTTAATCTCACCATTGTCGATTCTAGCGTGCGACCTTTGGAAAGTGCCTGAAAACCATACCACGGGTTAACCCAAGCCTTGTGAACTCTTGGGGGCCGTCGATAGCTGTGCTAGCACGAAGCCACAAGTCAGAGTGGCCGAGGGCGTGAGCGTGCTGGCCTTGTTTAAATTGTTAATCCCGCTAGATAACGCACTCTTTCCCTGTTGCAGTACAATTGCGTGTGTATGATAGGGGAACTCCTTATCGTGTTATAATGGTTAATAAGCTGATTTTGCAGTTCATTACTACTAACTTCTGTATTCAGTACTCATTGGGTTACTTATGATCTTGCCCCAAATTAAGCTATGATCCGAAAATAAACTATGTAAAGGTTCTCACGTTTAAAAACGTTTGGCGTGAGACGATGGATCGATATCATAAAACCTCTCGTTGATCTCTCCGTTTCCTCCTTATGACAAACGTATCACCCTGACTATTCACTCACGAACAGAATCATGATAAAACAGTGATTAACTTGATCGACAGCCTCTTTTTATAAGTGCTTAGACCGACTCCAGTTTTCTTCATGTGCTGTGTCTCTTGGTACATTTCTAATTCAGAATGCATTGCTCTCTACTAACCCGTTTACTTCCTCACGAAATCAAAGAGACAGAAATTCTAAGAAAAGGAGCCTTTAAAGTAGCCAGCGTTTCTTACGAGAACAGCTAAAAAATCGGGTCAAATTCGAACCGTCCTCACATTTCCTCCCGCCCGCTAACTATATGGAATATTCTATAATTTTGAAATAATAAATTTGTATTCATCCTTTAATATTTTGTATAAAATAAACAAGTATCTTATATTTTGTTTATATATCGAATATATTTACGTATTAACGGAAATTATAGTATTTACAATGAATAATACAAAAAAGTTACTTAAGAAAATATTAAAAATAAAAATTTATTCACCATAAGCCAAAAAAGATTATTAGATGATATAAAACAATTAATCATACAAGAATATTTACAAAACAGTAAAATATCAAAATTCTAATGAACTTAATCTTCCAAGATCAAATATGAACAATTCCTTCATAATGATAGATTTGAAAATATGAAATACAGTAGAAGTCCTCATATCCGAACTTCAGAGAGCGTTTGAATATGAGGACATATTCGGATATAATGTAGCATGTGTAATATAACTATAACTTAACAAAAATACAAAGACTTTTGGCAAAATACGAAAAATTAGTGCCTCACAAAAGTAAATATTAATTTGCAATGTTTAATGCTCAATAACATTTATTTTCCGTTGTCTTATTTCTTTTATCATTTCGCTTACTTCTCGCTGTTCCAGTTTTTTTTTTTTTTTTTTTTAAGTTAGGCATTTCTGCAAATTACGTGCACTTGTACATTCTCTATTACTGAACAAAGATTTTTTTCTCCGTGATCTTTATGACCTCATCAATAGATTTCACAGTCTCCTTCATCCTTTATATTTTCGCCATTATCGGAAGAATTTGATTCTTACTCTATTTCTTGACAACCCAAATCATTTTGAAGCGATTCTACCGTTGAAATCTTTTTGTAATTCATTAGCGTCTTCATTTATCCGTTCTTTTAAGTCATCCAAAGTGAGAGTATTCAGTGGATAGTCTTCAAGCACAAGTTTCAGTGTTTCGTTCAGATTCTGCAATCCTTGTTTGTTAATTTTGCAAATTCAACGAATTGGGAGTTTCGTTCAGTTTTTCAATAATCTCTCATTTCTGATGTAACATGAAATAATTTATTTTCCTTTTTCTTCCATTTGAAGTTTCTTCTGTGCGAGACATTATGGGTTGAAAAATTTCAAGTTACTAACAATTATCTGCAAAGAAAAGGAAAAATATTAGGATGTAGCATATTCCTATAACATCTAAATGGCAAGACGGAAACCTTTATAGTAACTTGTTTTGTTCCGACAAGGATTTTTTTTCAAATAAAATAAGTCGGAATCAATCTTTTATATATAAAAAGGGAAAAGAGACGAGGACGAAACAACAAACGCTTATTACATTTTGTATCGAAACGTTAACTATACAGAAACACTTAACATTTATATTTAAAGGCAGACATAATTGAAATAAATGAGACAGTTTAACAATTTAGATCTATCGGACATCAAAGTTTAAATTTACATATTTCCTTCTTTTTCAGCTGATGCTGGCGGTTATTTCTGCCGATCTGAAGACAATTCCAATCCTCTTGATTCCAATGGCTTCCAGACAAACGTCTCGGCGTTGACAGAACTTCTTACAGTGCCTGGACATATCAGCTTTTTTTATCACTTGGACGGTAAAGTATTCTTGAAAGTGTTGTGGTACGATATACCTAATTTACATAAGTGGAGTACCGACCATATAAATATGGGTTGGTACCGGAAGACGGGGGAAAATAGTAAAAAGTAAGAGATCGAATCCAGAGACTCTGCCCGACTGCGATTTAGTCAACCCATTATGCAGGAACAGTCTTCCCAAGAATATACCAAAACTAACTGTAAATATTGTGTACCTTTTCCTTGTTTCAATACATTTTGTTTACGTACATTTTGTGTTGTATTATTATTATTCCATGCTTATCCAAGTTTCAACAGAAAGAAAACAAACCCAGAAAAAAAACGAAGAGGACTTTACCTGATTATTACTGGCCCAGGAATCTTAGCTTGCCTTGTGTCTCAAATAGTTGCGTATTTTCCACTATTGCTAAAGGTCTCTATGGAAAAAAGATTAGGATTGGGTCTAGAAAACTAATATGTTTTTGTAAGTTGTATTTCTTTTCGAAATGAAGTTTGAATGAGATTCATGTTTTGGAAGGCCTTCAACGAATTACAGTTCAGTCCACCCTCGTAAGTTGCGCTACATTCTATAAAAATAAAAACGAGGTGAAAATAAACTAGCCTTATTACCGGAAATTTAAGAAATTG